AGACAAATCCAGTTTGGAGAAAGATGATCAACATCCAGACAGAAGAGTATCATTTCTTTAACATGGAGAACAGATGGAAGAAGGTAAATGCTGCTTGTTTCAGTGTTTCTCCATCATAGCAGAACATCATTGAGGTGAACCTGGTTGCATCCTGAAGCAAAGTTTTCAGAAGAGAGTCTCACCCTGAACAAGGAGCCCCAGGGTGGCCAGCAGTAGAATCAGTGACATCATCATTGTGCTGTCAGCGTGTCAGTGGCTCTGAAAGGCCTGGACAGCCACTGATCAACACTGGTCTCTTAACAGCTGGGAGCAGAGAGGCAGGACACATATGCAAACACACAGAGTCAGTCAGCTGTAGCTGTCCTCAGCATATCATGGTGTTTATCCCTCAGTGGTGACAGCATAAATTATTTCTATGTTTCTCTACATAGTGGTCCATGAAAGAATGATAACATTTTGTCATTGAACAAAAAATCATTTGGCTTCCTCTCAGTAAATACAGTTGTTAATGTTTGTGAGAATTTTTTAAATATTTATAGTGTGACATAAAAAGGTTTCACACCAGGACACTGATTTTGTTTTGCTAGGCATCATGTTCATTCTCTTAGTGAAGGGATTAACATTAATTTAAACACTTTTGAGAAAATGGAAAGCTCCAGTGTCTTCAATTAATACTTGGCGTAAATTTGAAAAGCAGAGGAGAGTACACGGAAGAGCTGCTTCAGTTACTGTCCACATTATTAACTTGAGGAAGGAAAGCTGCAGGTTTTTTCATGTATAATTGAATATCATCTATGTAGAAGATGATTTTACTATGGTGTTACTTGAAGAGGATGTTTGAGATTTTTATATGTTTTACATCTTTTTAAAGTTTAATTGTTTAAGTGTTCAGATGTTTCTATTTTATCATCTGTTCAATCTGCCCTCAGAAATATAGGTGTCACTTTTGAACAGACATTGACTCTTGAGCAGCATTTGAAGTGTTTGATACACCTCTGTATTTTTCAGTCAAGATACAATATAAAATGTTGTGTAGGTGTGCCTCAAGCATAGGCATCATTTAGGTATGGCGAGGTATGGCAGCTGCCATATCTTGGAATTGGGAGAAAAAAAAAAAAGAGAGGTTCTGTAGTCATCTTACTTGTGAGTGTCCTTCATATTTGTTGCAAGTGATCAGATGTGATAGTCCGAGGCGCACTGGCTGGTTGTTTTCATTGTATTGCACTTAAATAGGTCAATAATATACTCATCAGTAAATACGAGTGTTAGTGAATATGAGTGTTATTGAATCAAATTGTTCGCCACTTCGCTCCTCCGTGAGTTATGAGTTATGTGAGTTATGTGAGTTATCTGTGTGTTGTAAAAGCATTTTGCTCTGCTGCTGTAGACAGCCTGTCTAAATGATGTCTTGAAGCCTGTCTGATTGTATGTGGGGTTTTTTCTTCATGTCGGCATGTTAAGCTTGTATTTTCAGTCTCTGGAGACACTACAATAAATTCGCCTATACAATATTGTACCAAATTGGCCTTTGTTTTACTGTGTTTCATACACCGGACCCCTTGGTTATCTTCTAGAAATGAGCTTTTATTTTGTTTATTTTCTGTGAAGTTAAACACATGACTAATGATAATTAAACCTCTGCTCGC